TCTCCCTCTCCCTCTCCCTCTCCCTCTCCCTCCCTCCTTTTTACCTTTGGCTACTTGACAACTTAACTTGATACCTGGTCTGAGAATTTGCCTTGTCAACTGTGTGCCCTGGTATGTCCTCATAGTACATATATTGACCCTTTTCTCTTTGCTATCTTTGACCTCTGAACCCTGACTTGTATTCTGAACCGAAACCCAGAGATCGTCATTAAAAACAATGTTAGACTTAGCCTAGCACGTGAATGCGTTGTGGCCGTCTGCCATTTTCGTTGAAGTAAATGTAATTTGTTGTATCTTGTATGTATTCAAAAATGTTTTTGTTATTTTGTTTTTTGTTACTGTTTGTTTTGGGTTGTTTTTTTAACGAACATCCCCAGATAACGAGTCTGTAATATGGCTCTTCAAACTGCATGTTTCTTTTCGGTTCTCCTTGTGTCTAGTCGGAGTAGATTAGTAGTAGTCAAGTTGTAGGAGTAATGTAAGTAGTAGTTGTTGTAGCTATTTCTCTTTTCTTCTAGGCTTGAAAGGCTGCGACCCGAAGGAGTTAGGCCTGCCCACAGTGGATGAGGTTGTTGCGGAGTACTGCAGGCTGAGTGGACGGCCGCCCATAGAAAACTGGGACTTTTACCTTGCCTTTGTTTTCTTCCGCATGGCTGCCATTTTGCAGGGGGTGTACAAGCGAGCTATAACTGGTAAGACAGAGATACCATATCATCAGCAAGCTGAACAGCTGTTCTAAGCCTAGAATTTTTCTGGAGAGAGATAAAAACGTTTCCATTCTTTAAGAATTGTACCTAATATTGATCTTTTCTTCCTTTTTCAACATTGAAATTCAACATTGAAAATTTTTAATTTCAACAAAATGTTTCTCAAGCAGGGGTCGTCAAGTGTATGAATATGAGGAAAATTAATCAAGCTGTTCAAGAAAAATCAATTTTTAAAAATTTCTATCAAAACTGGGTAAAACACAAAAGTGCACTCTTTAAAAGCTTTCAGCTGCAGGTGTGTGATCAGCCTAGTATGGTTTCAGGATGAGGACGGTAAAACCATGACAGTCACACTTTTTTTTTTCTTGTTATCAAGGACAAAGCAGCTCCTCAACAGGAGAAGCAGTTGGAGCTATGGCAGAAGAAATGGCCAACTTTGGCTGGGAAATCGCCTCTCAGGGCCCTCCAAACTCCTCACCCATTGGCGCGGCTAATACCAGTGCCAACAACAGTACTGGAAGTGGCCAGAGACGACATTTCTCCACACTGATGGGTCACCGCCGTCCGGTTATGTCAACGTTGGTGCGGCCTTACTCAACAAGTGGCGGTCAGGGCACAGCAGGTTAGTGCTGGATAATTTTGCTTTTCACTGCAATACATACTTTACGTTTCTGCGACTTTACATTTCTGCGTTATTTTTTTTTTTGGAATGAAAGTTGCCAGTTAACAAGAAGATAGTCTGTTTCTTCCTTCTGTTAATGTTTAATAGAAGGGGAGGGGGAGGAGGAGGAGGTGAGATAATAACAATTTCAAGTTTGATAATTCTTAAAGGATTCTTTGATTAACGTAGTAGCTTTAAGTATTTCATTTCTTTACTGTAGCTCCTGACTACACCCCAAGGACCAGATTTTGCCCACGAGCTCAGTTCTTCTGGCTGGCCTCCATGCCACCACGAGAAACAAAAACAACCTGAAAAGATATACGAAGCTGCCGTGACGGCCACCTGTATAAAACAGCCACCTGTACAAACGGCCACTTTACATTTCCCCCCTTGCTTTTTAAAAATATATTATAACTGTGTAAAACGGTCACCTGTCTAACGCGGCTGCCGCCACCTTATTTTATCAACCCAGAGCCCAATCTTCCTGCCTTAGACGGCCAGGCGTGGTCTCGAATCGCCGGATGCTTTGCCCAAGCTGACCAGTGGGTAACAATAAATTTTCAACTGCTGGAAAGGGAAGCGTGTGATCCGTCACAACTTATGAGCCCCGCCCATAAGTCATACACATACCGCATGTGAAGTGACTGGTCGCTGGTTTTTTTACATAATCCGTAACAAAGTAACATTGGATGTTGGCGTGAACTTTCGACAGAAGCATCACTCGTTTTATGAGTGGTGGCGACCCAGTGTTTGTTTTACCATGACACTTGGTCTTCATTGTCTTACATTTATTATTTTACCCTTTTGCAAAATCAGCAATGAAAAAGCTAACCAAAAAAACAAACCAACAAAGTAACAATAGCAACAGAAAAACCTCTTCTTACAACACTCCACCCCCTCCTTTTCAAAAGAAAACAAAAAACCCTTTTGAATTCACCCTACGGCAGCCCTAAGCCTGAAATCAGTCCCGGATTGGACCTCACAAGTCAATGGTGTGCTTTCTTCATTTTGATCAATCCTGCATAAGATGGCCACCTGTGTTGTAAGGCCACTTTTCTCCTTGACAATGAGTGGCAGTTTCACACAGGTTCAACTGTATTTGTAGCATGCTCAGGACTTGGTCACCAAAATAATATGATTTTTTCTTTAAACTCTACAGTACAAATTAAACATGCTTTTATAGACTTCATAACTCCTAGCTAATATATCACCCCGTTGCTCGTCTTGAATGGGAGATCATTTATTTAATTACACTGTGTATTCGGTATATTATGTTGAACACAATAGTTATCCAGCCCACACTCGGCATTCTCCCAGTTATCTGGACCACTTTGAAAAAAAAGTTTTCTAATCCCTACTTTAGCGAATGGTTGATGGTTATTTATTATAGCTCAGCTACAAAGCATACAACTCCAAAAAGTACGCACTTTTTTCTCATATATATTCAAAGGCTAGCTTCTTGATTTTATTCCATATCTTTCCTCTTTTCTGTACATCATTCTCTGTGACTCTTCTCCAGGTTCCACATGGCCTTCCCCTGATCTCTTACCCTGTGGATTCCAATCCATCACTCTTTGTTACGCAGGTGCCTGGCTTCCCAAGGGTATATCTTGTCCATCTCCACCACCTTCTTCCCATTTCACTTTACCGTACAATTTTATGTCAACGCCTTACATATTTTATTTCAGGTCAGATGGCGGTGAATGTGCAGGGTCTTTCTCCTCGTGTTCAGGATCTGCACCGAAGGGTCAAGGAGTTCATCCAGGAACACGTGGTGCCTCTGGAGTTGGTCCGCAAGCAGCGTGAGGAGAGTGGCGCCCCGCGCTGGGAAGTCATGCCCGAACTGGAAGCCGCCAAGGTCAGAAACCCTAAGATAATTTGCGAGTAAAACTGCGTGAATGCCAAGCCACTGGTACAGCGGTGAGCGAGACCCTGTCCCTAGCTTTGTTCGTCAAGGACAAAACAAGCATAGAAAACCATGTTTACTACATAGGACGTTCTTGATTATTTTGAAGAACTTTCTGAATTAGATGCTGGTAATGACGAGGACTACCTTGAGTGGGATATGGAATGGGATTCTGACGATCATATGAATGTTAGTAATATATCGTTCATGCAGAAGGGCACGGTAACCTCAGGAGGTCAGGGCCCAAAGAGTTAAACTAGTGTACCTTTCTTCTGTTGTTTTGTCTTTTTTGTGTTGTTTTTTCTTGCAGGAGGAAAGAGGTTGCAGTATTGTGTTTTTTCTTGCAGGAGGAAAGAGGTTGCAGTATTGTACATTTCTAGTTCTCGCACTATTGTTGCCAGGCTCACTGTTTGACAAAGTTTATTGATAGAAATGTTAATATCTATACAAATTTGTTGTTCTATACTATGTAAACCACTAACAGAAATGTCATATCTCTGTGACTGTAATCTGCCTTGAGCATTTTTCAGAATATGGAGATAATACGCAGCATAAATTATGTTAGTTATTATTATTATTATTACTTAGTTTTAGTAAGTTTTACAGCACTTGCAACAAAAATAGGTAATATAAGTGCCAAAGATTAACAGTTTTACAAGAAAGCAACATACATTGTATTAGAAAAATCAGGAGGAGAGATAAGGACAATAGCTGTTGGACTGGAGAGAAGAGGCAAAGCACATCGGAGCACCGGCCAACCATCCACATTGTTTTCACTTGTGTCCTGTAGGAGAAGGCAAAGGCGGCCGGCCTGTGGAACTTGTTCTTGCCCGTAGAGTCGGACCCGGGGAGCAAGTATGGAGCTGGTCTCACCAATCTGGAGTATGCCTTTCTCTGTGAGGAAATGGGCAAGTGTTTCTTTGCCCCTGAGGTGAGTAAGTTCTTTCCACAGACTTTACTTAGACTGTTTACTGTCATGGCGGCCACTCTGTGCTCTTTCTGAAAACTTCACTGCTTTGGTGTTTACCGTGCAGGTGCAAATGAGGGGTAAAATACTAATCTCGCCATAGTTGAGTACGCACACAACCTTTCACCGCTTGCCATTCATTTGGTTCCTAATAGAGTCAAGGGAAGCACTCCATGGTGAATAGAATTACATCAAAGTGCATCATCTTGGGTACAAGTCTGCGGTTCTTTCAAGTCTTTTTGGTTTGACCGTGTGCTTGTTAAGATGAGGCTCTTCTACTGGGGATGGGAGGACTGATGTGGTCTTCTCTTTCTACTTCTTCGTGTCGTAAGTGTGGATGGTTGGAGGGTACCATAGTTAGTTTGGCAACCAAGAGATGGAGGGTGGGGGTCGCGGCTGGTAGGTGCTTTCATGTGGTCTGCTCTACTACTTTTAATTGGTATGGTTGGATGATGGGTGCTGTCTTCTTCATTTTTCCCCTCACACATAAACACATTCACTCACACACACGCACATGCACACACACTTTTTCTTTCCTGTACACTGAAGTTCATAAACACACAACAAATGACACCTCACAGAGACTAGACTCACACGTACTTCCTGCAGGGAGATGAGAAACTGTTCTGTGTCGGATGCAACACAGATTTCACCTTTAGACACATCTTAACAGAATGTCCAGACTTTCGGAGACCTGAAGAAAGTATTTTAACTCTTTGTCTCCAGCAAGCCGCTCCCAGTGGCTCGGGGTCAGAACCTCTGTGCTGGTGAGCCACTGACAGCGGCTTAGGCACATTCCTTTACGACAACTTCGACATCAAATAACTTTTCGGCAATTGCCAAAAACAGGTCTCTTATACCGGAAGTTCATTATTAGATGAAGAACTATCAAAATAGATTTGCTAGTTTCGATTTAATGACCCATTGAATGATGTTTTTGTCATTTTTAGATTTAGCATCAGAATGGGCCCTGGCATAGTGGGTTTACCCCCCTCGGAGATAAAGAGTTAGCCCTATCCGTACCCCCTGGGGTCATTTTGTACCCCGGGGGTTGTATTCTTCACATTTTAGAATACTTCTAGTACCAAGATCTCTTTGAAACTTTCAGTATTTCTCAAAAAATCATTTTGACGACTGCTATGCAAAGCGTACGGATCAGGGTTAACGAGTAAATCTGTCAACTCCACTCAATATCAGTCATAAGACGCACTGTGCTGTTATCAGCTACGAGGTTCGAAAGGCGAGAAAGTGACTTTCCATGAAATTTTTGTTTTGTGGATCTTTTGAAAGTTTGATGTCTTCTGCTTCATTTAAGATAAAAATAAACAACTATAATCGACTATAAATATTTTATTTTGATTTATTTTGGAGGTGCGTGTGGTTTGTTTCGAGCTTGGGTGACGAGATAAAGGAATTTGGACCTCTCTAGTGTGTAGCTGTGCGATTATTTTTAGAACCATTACCTCATGGCCAAGTTTGCTTCAACTAAAGATTCTCCACTAGTGGATTATCTTTGCTTCAACGTTCTTCTTTCACTACTGTTTTTAGATTTTGACCCCTTTTTGAGCATGAATGGTCAGAAATTTAAACAACACTGACTGGTAAAACAGATTAAAAACGATAACTTCTAGCTCACTTCAAGCTTGTTAACCTAAACAGCTGACTGTGTGGCGGTGCCCTGCTAGCTGTAATCGTCTGTTGATCTTTCAGTTTTATACTTGGATTGACTTAAAAAATTCGTTTTTATTGTGTTTTAGTGTCCTCTAGATCTCTCAAAGCGGACTCCTTACCAAGAGGCCACTGAGGCGGTCTATGTGCATGTCTGTGTATGTGTGTTGGTGTGTCTGTATGCGTGTGTGTGCGTGTGTGTATGTGTGTGTGTGGGTGTGTGTGTGTGTGTGTTTGTGCTCTGCGGTGTTTATGGTATGGTGCTATTGCAAATCAGGGGCAACTTGTGGGGCTAAAAAGTGGGCGTGCACAATTCAGCTACAGCAGGCTGAAGATAGTCAAGGGCATAGTAAGTAAATGGATTGTCGCTTTGATTTCTAAAACTAAATCTGTTTGTTAAATAAACATCAGTTTCTTCATCCTGCATTGGAACTGAACACTCAAGTAATAAATTTCATCACTCTACTACGAAACCATTCAAATGCACAGTTCACAGGACGCAGGACGGTGACTTAAGTATGTCACATTCACCTCCCTCAGGTTCATGGTCACAGATTCGCTTAAAATAGTGGCAAGACAATGAACCAATCACAATTCACTTGAGCACTCCGCTGAGTTGCTCTGGGGATCACATAATTTTGGCATAGGATAGTGTGCAGTCTATCGCGTTTATTTTTAGACTGCCTACTGTGGGCTATTTTTCGTGGGTGCACATTTGAGATGTGCCGTCTTATTAATATTAATGTACTGCCAAACTCTCTACGAGTGTCGTCATCGTTTGGGTTATCCCAAAGAGTGATTAATAGGTCAGGTTACCACTGTTGAATATTCCTATTATGTTTAGTTAAAGCATGTGGACTTTGACATGGCGTAGTAGATGTTTTACGGTGCCTTTGACACAGAAATGACAGTTAAGGCGCCAGCGACGACCTTGTTTTGAAATAATATTTGACTAGTATTTGTTTCTGACTTCTTTTATGTTATATTTGTGGATTCTTTTCGTAATAGAACATTTAAAAAATTTGGGCGGTACTGCACGACCGCGCTCTATGGACGAACCGCGCCTGTTGCAAATGTATAATTGTGAGGCAGCGTGGTGGAATCAGGCTCTCGTCAATTGTTGGGCATGTAGAGTTCTTGGTATCATCTTAAAGCTTGTTCACATGTCTTTATTTGGATGAAAAAAATGCCCGTTTATCTTAAATACAAGTCGAGATATTTGAGAATGAAGGAGGTGGGGGGTCACCTGTCTTCAGAGGTAAAATTAGTGAGAAAATGGCCGCCAAAGATTAGTTATTTCCTTAAATTTAGAGTCCGCGGTAACTGAAAATTTACATTTTTTGTGCCTTTAATCAACATTTTAAAGAAAAACCCACACTGAAATGTGTTCTTTAATGTGCATGAAAGGTGTTGAGCCAAAAAACAACAATTTGATAAAAATTCACAAACCTGCGGAAAACTGCAAGTTTCTTCACTTTGATTATTTTAACGAGAGCCTGATTCCACCACGCTGCCTCACAATTAGGTAGCTTAAACAAGGCACATAAGCCTTTCAAGCACGTGGTTTCGGTAAAATGGGGGTAATTCAGATATCTGTTTCTTTGCTTTTTTGCTATGAAACACCAAATGCTGAACATTTCGAAAAAGTTCAGATTTTTTTCATTACAACAGTGCAAGTTGTTTGTATATCTGGGTATTTGGAGCTGGAGAATTGCTGTGGAAAGGGAAGCCCCTCATGGTCGGAATGCGAGGTCGGCCGGTTCAAAATTGACACCCATGCATTGGAATGCTTTGCAGAAAGTTTGATGAATAAATACTGTCTTTTCACAGGCGGAGAACTATAAGCTACAGCTTTGAGCATGGTTTCTCGTGGTTATTTTTGGCCTTTGGATAGAAAACCTTGAAAAAAAAGCGTCTATGTTTTCAAATATCATTTTTTACACGATGTGTAAACTACCGGCTAAAAAAGCCTTCTTTCTTATCAAACATCTAATGTCCTTATCTCTCCTCTTTCTTTTCTTTGTATGTTACTCTCTAGTAACACATCTCATTTTCGGCTCTTATATGACCTATTTTTGTTGCAAGTGCCGTAAAACTCTTACTAAAACTTTATCTCTTGACCACCAGGTGTTCAACTGCAGTGCCCCGGACACAGGTAATATGGAGACCATTGTACGCTACGGCACTGAGGAACAGAAAGAGAAATGGCTGAGGCCTCTCCTGGATGGAAAGATCCGCTCTTGCTTTGCCATGACAGAGCCTGCGGTATGTTTTAAACACAGTCAAACCTGCTCTAATGGCCACCTGTTCAAGACAAATACCTGTACAGACACTGATTTCCCACTTCCACCCTCCTGGGTTTTTTTCTGTATTATAATGACTATGTCCAAGATGTCGACCTGTCCTAGAAAACTGCTTTTCTCCTTGACAATTGGTGACTGTCTTAGACAATTCAAACTATATTTATTAGTAATGCATTTGATATTACTGATTTTTAAATAGGCTCTTGTTATTCTTATGTGTTTTTGCGTGTGTGTGTGTTTGTGAGGAGAGTATAGTATTGTTTTGTGGGGGGGGGGGTTGGGGGGTGGAATGTGTCTGTCTTTGTGTATGCATGCATTTGTGTCTGAGTATGTGTGGGTGCACTTGTGTGTACAGTATGTGTATTTTATGGATATGTGTTTGCGTCTTAATGTGTGTACAGTTATTACGCATGTGTGTTTGTCTAAATGTGTGTGTGTGTGTGTGAATGTACAGTGGAACTCGGATTCAACGAGGTCGCCGGGCCTGATCTAAAATCTCGTTGAATCCGAGTGTTCGTTATAGCAAACATGAGGTTTTGTGTAAATAATTACCGGCACTGAGCAAGTAATGTGTAAAGAGAAGTAACAAGTAGTGCCTGAAATGCCTGCATATGAGCTGTGTACAAAAAAAAGACTGATTCGTTCAAATGCACGCCTGTGTCATCTCGATTGTTTACCAAAAAGTTGTGTTGCTGTGTAGATCCTAGCCTACGGAAACTTTTGATTCCATAGACCAACACACAATTCATTACGTAGATCTACATCGAGACTAGCTGATCATTGTAATATTGACCAGTCGCCGGGGGGGGAGACTGTAACGCGTTTGTTTCTGCGACGTTCAATGCCCGAACCGCTGGTGCTCTCCGACACACACACACACAGCCACACGTTTGCAGGCCGCCCATCCGACCCTGACACACGCTAGAGTAGACATGTGTGCGTGCCAACAACGCTTGTGTTGGTATGAAAAAAAGGCCGCTGATTGGTCGCATTAAATTGGCTAAGTGAATAATAGTACACGATGCAGGTGCAATGGATGGTTTCCGGGAATAGATAAAGTTAGTTCTAGGAGAAAAATGAGCGAAACCTTGTCTGCGGGGGCTGTTCACCTTGAAGCGACCTTGTTGAATCCGAGCTCGCCGGTTTAAGTGCTCGTTGAATGCGGGTTATTTTTATTGATTTTAAAGAAGAAAAAAACGGGAATCTATCTCCTCTCATTGAATCCGAGTTCTCGTTGAATCCGAGCTTGTTGAATCCAAGTTCCTCTGTATGTGTTTGTATGTTTCTATTTGTGTATTTGGTTATGACATGTTTCCTTTGTCGATGAATCTATCACAGAGACACTTATACACTTTGTTGTGGAAGAAATCATGGAGAGGTAATTGTAGGAATAGATCTTGCTTCTCTATGACTGACCAATAGTGTTGGGTCGGGCTCGCAAAATTAGCGTCCGCGAGTAACAAACTACCCGCTGACACTACCCGCAAACGAGCGGACGGGTAACGAACTGTCCATTTGTGAAGAGTAGTTCGCTACTCGCTACACATCGGACAGGGACAACAGTTCATTTAGCGAGCGCGCGGACGGGTGGAGAGAGAGACTCCTTCCATTGCCCACAACTTACAACCCGCCTCCCCCCCCCAAAAAAATTTTTTTTTTAAAATTAAAAAATCACCCTCCCTCCTGCCTCACATTGTAGCTAGGCGTTCATGGCGGTAATTTCTCCCCCCCCCCCCCGGCCTTTGCGATAATTGGAACGTACACAGTGTGATCCACGCACGAGGTGAAAGGTTACACACATAGTACTATGTCACCACCCTCTACACTCACTGTGGCACCGCTAGTGGTTTGAAACATTAGGCCTAATTAACAAACAGTAGACCGTGGGCCTAACCTCGCGTCGAGTATCTTGTCTGCTAGAGTTTTGTTCGCCTTCCCGCCCAGTGAATAAAATTGTGGAGCGGACCCAAAAAACGAATTGACTTGAGGCTTGAGGTCCACAGTCCGCTCGCTAAGAGAGTCAAATTGTGGAGCGGACCCAAAAAACGAACTGTCTTGAGGTTCGCAGTTCGCTCTCATGGCCGTCCGTTACCCGTTCGCTCTGACTGAGTCCGCGAGTAACGAACCCGTCCGTCCACTCGCCCCATCTCTACTGAGCAAGCTGCATGATGTATAGAAAAGTTTTTTTCATGTGAGAGCATGGGAGTAAAAAACATAACGATCAATAATGTGTCGAGGCTTTTTGAAACATGCCTTGAAAATTAAAGGAATAGGAAAAACGCTTTTTATCTCATCCATTTCTCCTTAAAACTTGAAATTGTCTTCTCCTTATTTTAGGATATTTGTATGCCCTTCATTCCACTGCTATGATTCTGTATATATTGAGGGCTCAAATACTATTTTATCTCTTGTCATCTTGAAGGTCGCATCATCAGATGCCACAAACATTGAGTCCTCGATCAGCAGAGATGGAGATTCCTATATCATCAACGGGCACAAATGGTGGACATCAGGTTAGTCTGAGTTTATTTCACTTCAACACCAGCAAGGTCAACCTGAAAGATTGCTGTGTTCATGTGGATTTTTTTTTAGAAAGAACAACTTTGAATGTCATAAGTGAAGCCATAAGAAAGTTTAACCAATGATGCCTGCTGTTTTGTTAGACGTTGTGTATACTTGGCCTTTGTTTTCTGTTGAACCCAAGATTTGTTGTGTTTATAGTTATTTTGCACAAAATTCCAGAGGTATCACTGACTTTAATGGTTTCAACTTTTTACTCAAATCACCTCTATTACACCTTGGTTGGGCCTGGCCTTTGATTTAAAGAAAACGAATAAATGCTTAGAAGTCTTTCAGTCTAGTTTTGACTTTTCTGTATTTTATGTTTCCTATGTGAATTCAAATGATTATATTATATAACTCTCTATACTTTATATGATGGAATTTTGCTTTTCAAATAAAAAGAAAGTTAAGGATTGGTTTCGCTACAGGAGCCCTTGATCCTCGTTGCAAGATCTGTATCTTCATGGGCAAGACAGACAAAGGTGAAGCTAAGCATCGCCAGCAGTCTATGATCCTGGTACCCATGGACTCTCCAGGAATCACAATTGTTCGACCACTTAAAGTGTTTGGATATGATGATGCACCAGGTATGCGACTCTGTTGTGTTAAAAAAGGACAACGGAGAGTAGTTTTTTTCTAGGAGGTTACAGCTAACTGGTTTTATTTAAATGATTTCCCTATTGCTTGACTAAAATAAGGAAACTGAGTTTTGCTGCTTAACTCTTTATATCTGGAGGGCGTACACCCACTATGCCGGGGTCCTTTTTTGGTACAAAATCTAAATGTGATAAATACGTCACTCAATTACTCATTAAATCAAAGCAAATGAACATTTTGTGATAAAAGAACTTTTGGTAAAAGAGACATGTTTTTGGCGGCATAAAGGAATGTGCCCAAGCTTCTGCAAGCGGCTCACTAGCAGTGTGGTAGAGATAAGGAGTAGATGACGTCAAACAGGCATGCTCCCTCTTACACACACACACATGCACATTTACATACCTGTGTGGGCGTGCCCTCACCCTTTCTCATACAGAGATACTCGCAAGCTGACACCATCCTGTGATCTCTTTGATTTTACCTGGAATCACCTTCTTATACAGTGGAGTCCACTTATAACGAGTCCGGAAAAAACGAGAAGTCTGTTATAAAGACACTGTTCTAAAACCCCGTTTTTCTCTCTTCTTTACCTTTGTAAATAAAATACTGCTATAGCGTAATCAGACAAACATGCGAGTCGGTTATAGCGGAATATTGCTGCTGCTGTGCACAGTGCATAGGCTAATTATACATAATGTAAAACCTCGCCAGTTGAGAAACATGTTGGTGATCTAGCGAAACAAAGAATGGGAGAGCCCATGTGTGTCAACAATGAAGGCCGGAGCGACTGAGTAGGGAGGGTAGTGGCATGCGTAGACAAGCAGAACGCATCGCGTGATAGGCCTGCGTAAGCCTTGTTTAGATTATCAAGGCCTACCATGCCTTTCACTTCTCCAATGTGGGGATGGAGAGGTCACAGTGCTGTGATGGATGGATCGAATGTCTGACGTGCGCAAGCGGGCGGAATGCACCACAGGGTGTGGTAGGGTGGTGGAAAACACAGTGGGCGAGTTACCCTAAAGCCCTTTCTTTCTGATCGCCAACGCCGAGCTGTCAGTCCAAAGAAACCTGATTCGATTTTTTATCAAGTAAGGCCTAGAGGTCATGTTGAAACACAATCATCGTCAGGGGAGATAGCAAAAGGAAATAAACAGAACACCAAACTCATAGATTAGGCCTACTTTACAGTTTCCCTTGAATTTATTACTGGATCCCTTGTAGCGAGAATCCTGCTATAACGGACATTTTGCACCGGTCCCCTCCCTCTCGTTATAACAGGATTCCACTGTATCGGTCTTTGTATGTTCACATATTTACTAAATGATAGGTGTGGCAGAGAAAGAGAGGGAGGATGGTGGGCAAAGAGAGAGAGAGAGAGAGAGAGAGAATGAGAAAGAGAGAGAGAGATATAAAAAATGACAGAAATAAAGAGATTGGGAGAGAGATTGTGTTTGTACTAAACTGTACCTATGAAAACTTCATGCTGCACTGGCTGGCTATGTATTCCTTCAAGTGGAAGTTAATTAGGATTATCTAATGTGCGATGTAAAAAATTGTTCGTATTACTCACAGAGGGTCATGGAGAGGTCATTTTTGACAATGTCCGAGTGCCAGCCTCCAACATCTTGCTTGGAGAAGGTCGAGGTTTTGAGATTGCTCAAGGTCGCTTGGGCCCTGGACGCATTCACCACTGCATGCGACTCATCGGTAACGCTGAGCGGGCTTTGTCTCTTATGGTGGACAGGGTGAGTGGAAACAGTTGTGTATTTCGTCAGCAAGCTGTCCAGCTCTTTTAAGCCTAGAAAGTAACTGTTTTATATATCTTTTCTTTATATTTTTTTTCAACTCTCAAAATTTAAACTTCAACATTTGAATTTCAACTAATTATTTCTTAAAAACATGCAACCAATACTGTAAATGAGGAAACTGCAATTAATAAAAAAAAAGTCAAAATTTTTAACTTGTGCGTATCAACAGCTGAATGTTGTTGATATAAATAAATGATTGGTGGGCGATCTAGTGTGGTCTACTCAGCTATTTTTTGCTGGTTTTTGCTTTTTTGAATATAGTTTCCTGATTCAATGTTGCCATTATAACAGGGACTCGCCTTTTGGGATTTTGAACCAGGGCACTCCGGTGTGGTCTTCTACTACTTCTTGACAGCGCCTGATGTTGTCCTTACTGCTGACCTGCTGGTTGGGGTTTGAACCTATAGGGTTTTTTTGTCCAGTAGCCCAGTATGACGTAACTGAGCAAGAACCTCTTCTTTTTGGCTGTCCATTTGGATCAATGATGACTAAAGCAGTATGCATGATACAGCTTTGCCTGGGCATTAGACACAGAAGAAGTAGATATGCCACGTGCTATTTACCTCCCTTCAGAACTTGACTTCCTTGACATGCTCCAGAGGAGAGACATAGTCAATACGTTTGGAATCCAGGAAGGTGAAAGGATGTGAAAGTACCACCACGTCTGGTGTAAATGAGACCAGTCCAGTGATCCAGCCTTAGGTGTGTGAGTGCGTGTGGGCATTTGTGCATGTTTGCGTGCTGGTTTTAACACTCGTGGTTGGAGCTTGGCTGAATTTGCATCCACTTTACAATGCACAGGAGAAAAGATGCAGTGATGTACAGTGTTGGATTTTCATTGTGTACATTTTATCAATTGAAAACAAAAATGTTCATCAGGCTTTTGAACATATGCAAATGTTTTGGAAAGAATGCCCGCATAGAAAATCAGATATCTTGTTGGTAGGTCTAAATCTTGTTGTTTTATCTCTTTCTCTCTCTCTCCCTCTCCGTCTCCATCTCTCTCTCTCTCACTCTCTCTCTCTCCCTCTCTCTCTCTGTCTCTCTCTCTCTCCCTCTCTCTCTCTCTCTCTCTCTCTCTCTCTCTCTCTCTCTCTCTCTCTCTCTGTTAAGATAAATATGTGAGGTGTGCTGACAAAATGATTAATAGATATATCTGGAATTTGTACAGTTTACAAGTATGAAATAATAAAAGACATGTTATACTTGACGAAAATCGCAGCTGTTCTGAAAGTCTATACAAATTTGACCCCAGTGTTGATTTTTGGCTGATATTATTTATGATTGCGAGAAATAACTCATTTTGTCAGCGTGCCTCATATATCCTTAAATTCCTCTCAGGGTTTGAACGGATGCAGTTACAGTCTAGCAATGAGAGTTTCAAGGGACCCACAACTTCTTTTGTATACCGATGCACTTTTTCTTTTCTCGCAAACACTTTCTTTCTTTCTTTTTTTCTTTTTCACTTTGTTTATCAAGTTTTCCTCATGGAATGGATTGTTGCGGTTGCTCTGGAATGGTTTGCTCCTTCTTTCCTATCACACATCTATCATCCTTAGGTCTCCTCGTACTTTTTTCTTTGTATGTTACTTTCTAATAACATCTCTAATCTTTGGCACTGATTGATGTATATAACCTATCTGTGTTGCAAGTGATGTAATATTTTTACAAAGGCTAAAAGACAAATGTTCTCCATCATTATGATTCCCCTGTTGGTACCCCACAGACCATGAAGCGTGTGGCGTTCGGCAAGCCACTGGCTGCTCAGGGAACCATCCAACAGGATGTGGCCAGGTCAAGAATCGAGATAGAGCAGTGCAGACTTCTGGTGCTGAAAGCCGCGTACATGATGGATTTGTATGGCAACAAGGTGAGGGAGGTGGGGAGGGAGAGATAGCGAGAGAGAGAGAGAGATAGCGAGAGAGAGATAGCGAGAGAGAGAGAGAGAGAGAGAGAGAGAATGTTGTGTACATGATGGACTTGTATAGCATCAAGGTGAGGGAGGGAGAAAGAGAGAGAGAGAGCAAACAAGACAGGCACACATGCAAACTTACACGTACAGATAGTGAGAGAGAAAGAGGGAAGAGAGAAAGAGACACAGAGAGAGAGAGAGAGAGAGAGAGAGAGAGAAAGAAGTCGAAAGAGAGAGTGTGTGTGTGTACAAAGATTTTACAGAACCTTTATCTTAACAAAGCATACCTGTTCATGAACATGAATGAATGCTCTACGCTTTTGATTAATGCTGACAAATATATATATATGAAGCACACCTTCTTACATATGTGCTATTACAAGACAGTTATTGGCAAATGCAAATCACATTTTAAACAGAAGAGAACAATAAGTAAGAAGGACTAACAATCAAGATTGCATTTCCTGAAGTATATATAAATTATTAATTTTGCCTCGACTTTGTTTCCCTTACATTGTTGTAGGAGAGAATTCCAGACAGATCACTAACTTAGAATTACAAAGTTCTATCTGCCTAGTATGTAGTTTTGAGAAATTTGATGTAAAAAATGTTTAGTTTCACAACTTGTCAAGCTTTTTCTAATTCAGTTCTTTAAATATCTTGATAACGACTCTGAATAATCTTACGATTTTGATAGAGCAGAAAAAGCGTTTGGTTTCAGCCTTCATGGTCCAAGTAACTTAAAATGGCCAAAAATGTCAGATAGAACTTTGTGATTCTAAGGTGGCGAGATGGAGCTGAACGAAAAAAGGACCTTCCAGGGAGTTCTTGTTTTCCCTTCCTGGATGCTCTCATAAGAGACTGATCTCCTGATCGTAGAGATCTTGTTTAAATTTGCTAGCCATGAAATGAGTAAACATTTTTTGTTGATGTTCTCATTTGCCAGGTGGCTGCTCCAGAGATCGCTATGATCAAAGTTGCTGCTCCTAACATGGCTTTGTCTGTCATTGATCGGGCCATACAGGTAGGTTACCGTAGATACTTTATTTTCTATGCAAGCTTCTCATTCCTGCAGCCTTCGCTTTGTACAGCTTCGATCTATGTTGCATTTTTGAGAGGCCGATTTTCAAATTAAATCCAGAAATTTGTGTTTCTGAATGATCTGGATATCACACTATATAACAAAATAGTCTTGATATGAGATGAATTGGACAATATGATCTGTAAATATAGAGTCCCCACGCATACGTTTGCACAGGATCCGGAAAGTTCAGGATTTTTTTCAAAGTCATTTTGCTGTAACCAGCGGAAAGAGTCACCAAAAAATACCCTACGAAGTATTTCTGGCCCATAACCATGTTTTATTAGTCTGTCCTTTTGGTTTTTGCAATGTGTATTGTGACTTTAGATATAACCTTTCATATGGTAAAAATAACAAATCTGAGAGTTGTAGTTTTTTCATCCAGTATTCACTTCTAAACTGAAAGTAGTTTTATATATTTAAAATTAGTCAATTTAGAACAAAGTTATTTTATAATTTTATGGGTTAGACCTAGAATCTATATTTTTCATTTTAGTCTTGATGTGTGTCGGTTTTTTTCCTTGCTTTGTGCATGCTGCATTTGATTTTCTTTTCACTGACACAAGATGTAGGAGCTTATATTTATTTTGTTTGCCTGCTGCTTCCTTTGTGCTTGTTGTTTATCTGATACATAATGGAGGAGTTACATCTTTGAATGACTTAAGAAACAAACAAAAAACGAATTTGTGCTATACAAGTACTATTTATTTATTGTTATAATTTTTGGCATCTGTCAAGCATGAGTCCTTTCTGAATATATGCCCATGGGTAGACTTGTTTAAGTAGGCATGCCGGCTACACACCAAGAGACTATCTAATAATTTTTAGAAATTTAAAATCGTTACAGCTGATTTTTTTATGTCTTTCTCAGATTCTTGTCATTTTTTCCTACTATTACTATGCTAATTGTGGTATTTATAGTAAAACCTGCCCCAACAGCCACCTGTCTAAGACAACTACCTGTACAAACGACCACTTCCCACTTCCTCTTAAGACAATTATCTGTACAAACGACTGCCTCCAACCCCCCTTTGAGTTTTTTTCTACATTATAATTATAATGACGCTGTCAGTGGTGTCCACCTGTCTAACCACTTTTCTCCTCGACAATGGGTGGCCTTCATTGACAATTCCGACTCTTGTTTCTTTTTTGTGTGTACAGTTGAACCTGCCATGACGGCCACCTGTATGGTATGATACGGCCACCTGTAAAAATGGCCACATTATATTTCTTTCCTTGCGTTTTTTCTATATAATTTAACTGTGTAAAATGGTCACCTGTTGGACGTGGCCGGGGCCTCCTTATTTTATCAACCCACTGTCAATTTACCTGCCTCATGCGGCCTAGCGTATTGCCCGACGCTTTGTCATAAATTTTTTAATGGCCCCTCACTCTGTGGACGGGCCGTCTTAATTCTTTCTCCTGTCGTTATTATTAGTCCATCCATTGAATGTTTACGCTAGTTGACCAATGGGTAGGCCTAATAATAAATTTTCATCTGCTGGTGAGGGAAGCGTGATCCATCATAACTTATAAGCCCCACCCACAACTCGTGCACTAATCGTGTGCGAGGTGATAGGTTACTGTTTTGTTTACCTAATCTGTATAAAGTAACAATGGACATTGACATGAACTTGCGACAGAAGCGTCGTTCGTTCTCCGAGTGGTGGCAACCCGTGTGTTTGTTTTACCGTGGCACTCGGTCTTCATCGTCTTACTTACAAAAGATTTCGTTTATTTTACCCTTGCACAAAATCAGCAACAAAGAGAAAGCTTACCAAAAACACAAACCAACAAAACAACAACAAAAAACCTTCTCACACCACCTACCCCCCTTTTTCTAAAGAAAACAAAAACCGTTTTGAATTAACCTTACGGCAATCCTAATCCTGAAATCAGCCCCGGTTAAGACCTCGTAAGAGAATGATTTACTTTCTTCATTTTGATCAGTCCTGCCTAAAACAGCCACCTGCGTTATATGGCCACTTTTCTCCATGACAATGGGTGGCCGTTTTACAAAGGTTTGACTGTACAATGTACTTGCCCCCCCCAAGGTACTTTCAGCATTGTTTCTAGTATATTTTCCCAATCTCGGACATAAAAGGCACAATGGTACTGTAGTCTCCACCTAAATGCACGGTGCTTGGGAGGGCTCCTTAGCGTGTGTTTATATGGAGCGTGCGTTTACATGAACCTTAGCAAAGGGAGAAAGGGACGCAGTCATCTTATATTGCCTTGATATTCTAGTGACCTCCCTTTGGGATGGGGGTCACGTTGGGCCGATAATTTGACGACACGTGACTGTTTTGTAAAAGATTCCCCGACTGCGGTTAAGACTGCAAAGACGTTGAATGGGTGTGTGTGTGGGGGGGGGCAGGAAGACAGACTCAATGTAATGAATGCACCATAAAATGTCGGGAACCAATAGCCTAAAAAGAAATTGTTGGTGATAGTCATAGAGACGACGGCCCAGCCATGTGGCTTTCCAAGCAACCACCCCCGACCGTAATTTCATGAACAAGCATTCATGCGTGTTTCACATCTTAGGCTTATGTCTAACTAAACGTTAGCCAACAAGCAGTCACTCAAACACCAGTCAGAAACCTTTTCTCAAAGAGGCGCATTTCCAGTGACCGACCCCAACCCCCCAACATTTCACCGACCAGTCCTAGACCTATATATATATATATATGTCTGTGGAAAGTTGGGTGTGAAAACGCTGTCCATCACTCTCTTTGCTCGGCATAAGGGGCAGTCTCACCAAATATCCGGTTTTCTAGGCTTGTTTTATGCAAGCTGTGCAGATCGTACAGTAGTCGTAGTGAAAATTTCCCCTTGTCAAGCTTTACCTGTCAGCGTGTTCTGCAGATCGGAGCGTGCGTCTAGAGGAAGTGACCGTGCGTTTGTACGTCTATATAATATAGTAAAAAAAAAGTTAGATGACGTAAGCGTGCGTTTGAGCGGAGCGTGCTTTTGTATGTCATGCGTTTAGGCGGAGACTGCTGTATGTAGACAGACATGTAAATTTAACACCTTAAGTGAGTAGTAACAATTCATCGGCAGGAGGAAATAGATTGCAAGGTGGGGAGCCTGTAGCCACACTGCACAATAGGGGTGGTAAAAGCTTTTTACAAGAGAATTCCTATAATAAAGAAATTGTGGGACTGTCTCTCTTCAAATTTTTTAAAAAGAAAAGCTCTTTCAATTCCTGAAGATAGAAATTCAAAATTGTCCAAGGTGACCACCTATTGTTGAGAAGAAAAGTGGCTGTTTTAGACTGGTGAAGTTCTTGGACAGTGAGATTGTAATAAAGAAAAAACATAAGAGGTGGAAGTGAAAAGTGGTCGTTCATGAAGCAGGCGATTGTCTTGGACAGGGGACCTTTAGAGCAGGTTTGGCTGTATGGAGTTCAAGTTTAATTCTTTGTCTGAATTGGGACAAGTGATAGTAACACAAATCATTAAAATAAATTTCTTTCTTCTTTTGATCACCATGCTTTGCCTTTGTGTCCTTCATCTTCTCTTATCCCATAGTCTTGCTGACCGCAGTAGATTTTGTAACCAGCTTCTTCCACTTTTCTCGGCTCTCAGCTTTGTGTAGTATGATGATGTTCCATTCTTGGCCGGTCCAGTCTTCAATATTGTCTTCCCACTGTGTCCAGAAGTCTGCCAACCATTGAAGTCTTAATCCTTTATTAATATTGAAATAAAGATATACTTTATTCTTTTCCTTCTATCTCTTGTGAATGCGTAGATTTCTTGGTCATGTTTTAACATCTTGCACAGGCTCATGGAGGTGCAGGTGTAAACGATGACTTCCCACTCGCTGCAATGTACGCCTGGGCACGAGTATTACGATTGGCCGACGGACCAGACGAAGTCCATCTGCGAAGTTTGGCTCGGTCCGTCTTTGTCCAGAACGGCAACAAGGCAAAATTATAACATCGAGTATGCACACACAGATTGATGTTTTTATAAGCCTCATATACAGGAATAGAGTAGAAAAGCATGGACTTAAGGATTAACAATGTATAACAACTGCTGAATGTTAGACTCTGTCATAAGTCTCTTTTCAAAATGGCGTATGACAAGGTCTTACACTAAGCAGTTGATATACATAATGATGATAATTCATTTGATTTATGAGCTTCAGTTTTTCTTATATAATGCTCTGTTGGGGTGCCATGAACTTTTTAGTATAACAGTGGAGATTGAACAGGGTTTATTTGACTGTGCATGGTCTCTGTAGTATATCGTCAGCCAGCTGGTCAGAAGTGCTAAGCCCAAAATTTGGAAAAAATAATTTTATTACAGCTTTTCTAGCTAATCTATGGTAACACTCACATGTGCTCAAGTAATGTTTTGTCAAAGTTCAAATTCTGAATGTTGAAAATAAGATGAAAAAATACATAATTTAGGTACCATTGTTAAGAGAATGAAACAGGTTTTTTTTCTCTCTCCTGGGAAATTTTAACAGCTTGTCAGTGATATGCATAAAGTGGTAATGCATGTGATATTTATTTGAGCTTCAGTTTGTACAACATTCAGTCGGGGTACCATGAACTTTTTCTGAACTCTAGTGGTTAGGCTACCGGACTCGTAATCCTGAGGTAGCTGGTCGGGGGTTCAGCCTCAGACTCAGATTCGGCATTTTGTCCTTGGGAAAGGCACGTTACACCAATTTTCCTCTCTTCACCCAGGTGAGAATGGGTAACCTGCCGAAAACAGTGAAAGATCTTGTCCATATGTTAGTGCCTATAAATACTATACAATGCAGCTTGCACTGTGTACTTCCCTGGAAGTTGAGATTGTTTCAGAATGCTATCAAATCTGCTAGGGTAATAGTCATAGATTGTAAAGCGCATAGAGCTTGGTGTTGAGTGAGAATTTGAGCTATACAAATGCTATCTATTGTTATAACAGTAGCCATTGAAGAGAGAAAGTTTGACAGTGTGGTTTTGGTAGCATACCATGAGCCAGCTGTTCAATGTACTAAGCCTAAAATATTTTTAAAATTTGTTATATAGGATCACGAAATGTTTTGTCAAAATTCAAATTCTAAATGTTGAAAGTAACAAGAAAAGATTCATAAATGATGATGTAAGCACAGTTGCTAAAAGAATGAAACAGTTTTTTTCTCTCTCTCGATAAATTTTACTTTCTGGGCTGAGTGCATTAAACTGTTTGCCGACAGTTTTTTTTTACTTGTGAAGAAAGAAGGAAAGCTCCAACATTATTTCTCATAGGTGCTGAGAGGCAGTAAAGGTGGAAACCGTTTCTTTCTTTCCTGTTTGTTTGCAGTTACTTTACATATTGTATCAAGAAGATAGTTTGGGTTTTGTTACCTTTTAAATTAATGTTAAAACAGTCACAGTCACAGAATTATCGATGTCCCTGGATGCTTTTACTATCCCAATTTCAACACCCCACCCCCCATCACCCTCCTACCACCGCTTTTTTTTTTTCCTGTTCGCTATGTGTTTATTTTGCTCTGTGCGTGCTGGACGCTATTATTATTATTGTTATCTGTATTGTTATTCATTATCATTGTTTCTATTACTAGTATTGTCATCATCATTATTGTTGTTATTTTTGCTATTACTACTAATACTAAGGTAATTTTACTGGTATTAAAACCATCCATAACAGCTAACCAAATTCAATGTTCTTTGTTGCCATCAAGGAAGGGTCCCATGCCAATTTCAAATTTCTTCCCCCAGGCTCACGGTGGAGCAGGAGTGAGTGAGGATTTCCCTCTGGCTTTTCTCTACGCTGCCGCTCGAACCCTGCGCTTCGCAGATGGTCCTGATGAGGTTCACCAACGAGCAGTGGCCAGGATAGAGTACGCAAAAATTGCTAAGGCCAAGATATGAGCGTTGAATGTCAGTATATCTGTTAGTCTGTTTTTGTTTTTAGTAATTATAGAAATACACTAAAGAAACTATGGCCAAGATATAAGCACTGACTGTCGGAAGACCTACGTCTGGTATTGTCCATTATATTAGTTTCGATTTTAGTCTTATCAACAAAAAGTTTTCTATCATTTTCTTGTTTTGTAAAAGTTCATCTGTTTGCAACGAATTATGTTCTTAATTTTGTCAAGAAAAATTAAATATTATTTTCTTATTCTTGTAAGAGTAGCCTTCCTCATGGTATTCATGTCAAGTTTCTGATGCATAATGTTGCAACAATTATACTTCATGAGTTATTGTCTTTGTGCTCTGCACTGAAAAAATTAATTATAAATGATTGATGTTCTTCTAGAGTTTAGTGCCTCCAAAAAATGTATAGTGATATTCTCCCCATCGATGCAGTTTAGATCATTTAGAAGGTGGGATAGGACTTTGCCTGTCAGATCCAAACTGGGCTGAGAGGGTGATGCAATGTCCCAGCAGAAAGACTGAGATGCCCAATAAAAATTCTCCCCTCCTGTGAATTGGACTCGGGTCTTCTGAGTGCGATGGCGAAGCACCCAACTGCGTTACCTCAGAAGCCAGCTTATGCCTCCTTTAGACTACTGCATTTGTTGTTGAGCAACAGCTAACTATACTATTTGTCTTTCCTCTCATTTCCTCTACCCTAATATGTGCCACTGATATGTACCACACTGAGCTAGACACTAGGATCTCCTGCTATTCATCTAAAGACTGCACCAGTATTGTGGGGATTCTGAAGAAATGCCTTCTTTGTTGCTATTGCTCTGTTATTCATGAAGCAGCGTGTACGAGTACCTTTTTGAAAAATCAGGACTAGTTTTTCTTTTCCAATTTTTCCTACGTAAAGTTTAAGTTAAAGTGGCATAAGTGCACTCTTTCAATGTAGTATAAAGACTACTCCAGCAGCCTTCTGGTATTCTTTATATTGTTGTGATGATTCATTAGATTGCTTGTATAAGATCCAGAATGTTTTATTTTTGTCGCTTCTGTACATAGCTTTTGTCCTGTTGAGAACAATGAATGATGATGTTAATTAACTTTGCTCATTTTGTTCAGATGAAATGTAGGAATGACTGAATGACCTCAAGTTTGAACGAAATGGAATTCCAATGAAATGCTAGTTGGACAGATGTTGAAATTTTGCATTGTGCTATTTACAGGACCTACGAAGCTGTTTATTTATAATTTGGTTATGTAGTCATCGGATTTTTTAATTTTAGTTTTTCATTTGCAAAGGTAGAAGAATGGGTTTTTTTTCTTTTACTCACTCCAATATGTTCAAATAAAGTGTCTTGAAAGACAATGATGAGTTTAAGAGATTTTAGTATTTCAGATCCCAACACAGGTCCTTTTGCTTTTTCGCTGAAAGGGCTGGTCAAAGTGGAAAGCAATAAAAAAAACTTTTTCCATCTCAGTTGATTTTGTCACTGTGGTTCCTGTGATTTTGGACTCTTTTTCCATATATATATATATCATACATATAACCTTAGTTTTGGCATTCAAGATGTTTACATTTTTAACCAATGCCTCATAAACAGGAGACTTCTCTCTGACCCATCTGTTATGTAACTTCCTTGTGGGGAGAAACTTGCAATTTGTCCACTAAGAAAAAGCTAAAATAATTTTACACCACATAGCTCTGCCAACAATGTTTTGTTCATGATTGCTTGGAAATTTATTTTCAATCTTAAAAATGTGTCAAGACGTGGTGGAATCAGGCGCTCGTCAATTTTTAGGCATGTGGAGTGATTGGTATCATCTTAAAGTAATAAAAGCCCGCTCAGTTGTCTTGCTTTAGATGAAAAAGAATATCTTGAATAGAAGTCAAAATATTTGCCATTAAATGAGGTAGGGGCCACCTGATTTCAGAGGTAAAATTTGCAAGAAAATGGCTGTCAAACCAAATTTGGTGACTTCCCTTAAGAAACAGCGAATTTACATTTTTTATGCCTATAACCGAAATTTTTCAGTAAAATTCCCTCTAATGTGTTTTTAAATAGACATAATACAAGGGGTTTTGAGCCAAAAAAAAAAACGACAACAATTTCCAAATAAACAGAAAAATGACTGTTTCTTTGATTTCATTATTTTGATGAACATCTGATTTCACCACTGTACCTCACAAATTACATGTAATGTAATTTGAGATGTTAGTGTTTACAGTGTCTTTTGAAATTTACCTTAAATGAATGTGTGTTACTCTATTGCCTGTAAGAGTGCAACTTTCTCTATAGATAGTGATGTCCAGCTGAGGATTTTGTTTGTGCTGATGAATTAAGGTTAACAAATATTTTAATCACAATATTATTTACAGGTGCTAGTGTTATTGCTGGAGTGGAGATAAAAGAAAGAAATAATTCTGTTTGTGTCAAACTGTGTACTTGAGTTGTTACTCTTTTGGGGCTTAGAGTTTTCATGTATTATTATGACAGCAATATATACACACGTGGAATGTTTAGTTCTAGGATTTCTGTTTTTTATTCAGAAAAAAAGGACTTATTTATTTCTTTTTGAACAAAATTATACAAGTGCATTGTATTGCAGTGTATTAACGAATATGGTATGAAACATGATCTTTCTTGTAGGTTGGAAGGTTGTTGGGTTTTTTTTTACCTTGTTGAATATATTTACAATTATATTGATGCAAAGACATCTTTTGATAATACAAAAATAAAATATAAAAATGTACGCATTTGGGTTTTGTCTGAGTTGTTTTTTTCTTGTGCTTTTGCCAGGGGTTATTTATTTTGTATGAAAATACTGACATCAGCGCAGTGGAATCTGCTTGAACTGAAATCTGAGAGCCTTTGGATTTTCTTTGGCTAAGCTAGGTTTTCAGTTTAGACAGGTTGCTTCCATAGAAGGGAAGTGGGTGAGGGACTGGGGAGAATTGGGAATTCTATTTTCTTTCATTATATTGCTGTACTTTTCAGGTTTTCTATCTCATCCAAACATCTCCATGGACACAAAGAGACAGTTTATCATCTCAATATTCATACCAACATTGTGTTATCAGTGCCAGACCTGGACCTTAAGCAAAATCACTGCATGCGAAATGAAATATCTCCGCAAAACCCGTAACATCACAAGATGAGACAGGCAGAGAAATGAAGACGTAAGAGCAGCTATCAGCACTGAGTCCTGCCGGCGTTACATAGAAAGACAGAGGATAAAATGGTTTGGCCACCTGTTACGCATGTCACCTGACCAGCCAGCCTTGAGAACCTACAACACCAAGCACTCAGGCTATAATAAAGGAAGAGGAAGGCCACGCAAAAGGTGGATCGAGGGTGTCAAGGAAACCCTAAGAAAACCTCACTACTGAAAGAGCTGCAGAGCTGGCCTACCATAGAAAACTGCATCTCCCCTCGACGCTTAACGGCAACAGAAGATGAAAAAGTAAAAGTAAAGTAAGTACTTTTCAGATTAAACATGTTGGGTTTTTAAGCGAACTCCACTGAATTGTCATTTTTTGTGTGTGTTTGAAAATAGGTATATTTTGATGGAGCCGTTTTTAAAACAAATGATATCTCGATCCAGAATCAAAAGATTTATTGTGCAGGTTCAGGTGACAGTAGGCCTACACATTGCCAGTACTGTCCAGGGGAAAAAGGTTTTTAGTATTATGAGCTTCTGTTTGTTCAGTTTTTTAGTTTAGTTTTAGTAAGAGTTTTACTCGCTTAGCTGATCAACGGCGGGAAGTTAAAAATAACTTCAGCTCTCTACGTCTTGCACCAAAACAAGCCCAGCCTCTCCCTTCCTCCACGGTTCAAAGTTCACACAGCGAGCGATACTGCTGCTTGAACACATATCGAGCAGTGTGCCGCTCGCTCGCTGTATCGAGACAGCACAAGTCAGCAGGTCATGTTTTGAGCTTGTCCTGGGACAATTCACTAGGCCTAGCGCAAATCAGTACTGTGTCAATCGTGGGACTTGTGGCTGCGGACGGGATTTGAGACTTGATGGCTGTATGCTGCTTGAAAGCCTTCGATTAATCGAGCAGACTATAGAGCTACGCCGCGCAGTGACACTGTGGGCGGGACCTCTCACTCTCCCCCTCTCTCTTTTTCTGACGTAAGTGGCTTCGCGGATTGCAAGCAGGGTGGGGATGATAAGGGGCTCTGACACGAGTGGCTTCGCGGATTGATAGTTGCTGTGGACTTGAAGTTTAGACTAGACCAAGGAGGTTACAGTTTGCGCTAGACTCAACTTATCATGCTGGTGATTTGATTTGATGATTTGACCTAGTGATTTGAGGCTTGTGACTTGAACTAGGGGCTTGCGAGCACGAGCGGGTTTGCTACCGGGGTACAGCCCTATGTTTTAGTGTCTACAACAGGAAGTTGAGATTGTTTCAGAACACTATCACGTATCAGGTCTGCTTGATAACAATACTGATTGTAAAGCGCATACAGCTTGCTCTTGAGCGAGAATTTTTCGCAATACTAAGTGCTATCCATTATCTATGCTCTCACGGTCTAAAAAAGGTACGATGTTCGCCTCTCGTTCAGAGGGTTCCGGGTTCGAAAACTGACGGCGACCTATATTCTTGTCCTGTCTCGACTTTACCCCCATTTTTGTGCTCCTCTTTCCCTTACCCCTGAATCTTTCTACTGCTACTACTGGTTCTTTCTTACTGCTATCTTTCAGCCACATCCTGATCTTTGGACAGGTCATATCGAACATGTTGCTTTTTTGGATAAGGGCGAAAAATCTTGGAAGGCCCGTGTGCACATTGCACAGGTTAAAGATCCCTTGGTGGTTCTAAATCGACCAGGGAAGACTCCGGCTGCCACGCGGGTCAAATTCAAAATTTGCTCCAACTGAAACTAATAATACTTTCGTTAGTACTATAGCACATTATAGGGTACCTTTGAAATCGGAATGCAGCTGCCCGAAAGGCAAGGGGTCCTACAAAGTAGGAAAAACGGCCACCTTCGTAAAAATGAGTTGCACTGCAGGTTTGTTTGTTTAAGTAGAGGTTTTACGGCGCTCGCAACTGCATAAGGCCATATGAGCGCCAAGGGGTGGATGTCAACAAAGAAGTCCTTACTTGGAATCGGGCTTACTCAGCTTACCTCTTTAGCTTCAACAGTACAAAGTCTGCTTTGACTATCAAGGCACCCCGGAAAAGCGGGTCAAAAGACAGTGACAAACATACACAAGAAGTAGAGGAAAATAACTATAGTAAGGATGAGGAAAGAAAAAGCAGCAGTTCCCTGTTGCAATTCTGGCACAGTTATGAGCAAGACATCGATGAATCAGCCCATTTACAATTCTACTGAGCAACAGAACATGATAAAGTCCCCCCTTTGGGAATGGCCAAAAGACACTTCAGTCAGTAGCAACGCCCCGAGGGTGACACAGTACTGTAGGTTAAAGTACCAGCAGTTGACTACCCCTGAGATGTAACGGGGGAAGAAGAAGAGGAGGAGGAGGAGGAAGAGGAGAAGAAGAAGAAAATGAAGAAGAAGAAGAAGCTCTCTTTCATTTGAGTCTGGGTACAGTTATCATCGAGTCTATCCAAAAGTTCAAGTTCAATAGCTGTTCCCAAGATGACAGGCTTACCAGCACTACAACTAGTGTAGTGTATGTAACCTAAAGCAGAGGCAGAGGAAACTAGATTGCTCAGGAACCAGTAAATCAAGAATGATGACACGTCTAGATGTGCAGTATCACTCGTTTTTGCTTGAAAAAAATATAACATTCGTCATGACGATTATTATTATTTCGCTTCACTGGGATTTCTGTTTGTGCCTGATATAACTGTGAAGAGCATAAATCAAATCATGTATCTTTCAGCATTGCCTGCCCAATTAATTTGTATCCGGTGACTCAATAATTTTGTGTGTGCCTGGAGAAAGGTGTCAGCAAAGCAAAGCTATTTTTAAACCACGGGGTGAAAAGGCCAAAAAGGTCATACAAAAGTTTGGTCAAAAATTTAGTTGCACCACAAAATACACGGTTAGCCATTTCTTAATATCATATTGAAAGGATTTCATATTATTTTAAATTTTTAAATAAGTAATATTTTTGCAACATGCTGTACTTCACCAAAGGTTAAAAATGCAATGTGCAAGTACTTGAGTTAATATACTTATGTTAAAGCCGTTTTTTCTCCAAACTTTGGGGGCTCTCGTGGTCAAGAGGTTACGGTGCTCGCCTTTCATTCTATAGGTCCAGGATTCGAAACCTGACAGCCATGGGAACATTTTCTTCTCTAAAATGTTCTCCTTTCACCTCCGTTCCTGCTCTCCTAACCCTGTGTACTGTCTCTGATTTCGTCTCCACTTGCTGCCCCCAGCTCTCCTCCCCCTGTTTGCCCCCTCCTCTCGGCTCCTGACTTTCTGCAGCGTTTCTACTGCTACTCCTTGACTCCTACTTATGGCCGTCTTTCTCTTTCAGCCCCATCCCTGATATTAGAGGAGGTAAGATCCAACATCTAGTCCTCTCGAAAGAGGGCGAAAAATCTCGGACGTCCCGTGTGCAAGTTAAGCACATTAAAGTTCCCTTGGTGGTCCTTAGAGTATGCTCTGGCTGCCACCCAGGCAAAATTCAAAATTAATTCCTACCGAACTAAAAATGTTTAACAAGTCCGGCACGGTT